ATAAAAGAAGTGAGGCAGTGGAAGGGTCCTCTTTTCTCCGATCATTGGTGCCATTCTCATTCTTTGTCATGTTTCAGCGTTTGCTGTTGATCGTTTTGTGGTGGTTCTTTCCGTTTATATTGTTGGCGCCATTGTGCATGTTGTTGTCTTGGCCCAGCTTGCTTCAGTCTGCATCAGATTATATAAAACTCTCCATGCTTCTCTGGATTTATCATCCCTATGATTTCTGAAAGCACCAGAATATTCCATTACATCCATGTACCACGATTTGTTTAGCCATTCTTTTTTTTTGTTTGTTTGTTTAGCCATTCTGTAATCAGTGGGCATCAACCTTCTTTCCCAATTCTTTGCTATCACAAAAAGTGCCATTATAAATATTTTGCAGTCTAATGGGAACTTATTTCTTCTCCATGGCTTCCCTGAGTCGTTTCTAAGTTCTTTCTTGAATTGCAATTTCTCCACACATGAATAACCATCTTTGGTTGCATTCTTCAGTTTTGACAAGACTCAGGAGTTTCTCATTTGGGTCTTAGATATGTACTCCAGAGAAAATAGTGACCTCCTCAATTATTTGTATAAAGTAAACAGATGAAATGACTTCTTAATCTATCTGCTCTACTACTCATTTCTTCCATTCTAGTACAGTAGGCATTTATTAAGTGCCTTCCATGTGCAATTTACTGTAGTAGGCACTGGGAATACGAAAACATAATGAAAAAACAGATCCTTCCCTCAAGAAGCTTATAATCTTCCGGTGGTATATAATATGTAAAAAGATAAATATATCCATGATAATTCAAAGAAGAAGTAAGGAGTAATAATAAAGGGGATCAGGAAAGACTTTACTCCACAAGCATTTATTAAAATACCTGCTATGTTCCGGGTACTATTGATATAATGGCAAAAATGAAAATTCCCTGTCTTGAAGTGGCTTACTGTAGTCTATCAGGATAAAAATAAACTCATAGTACATACAAAATAAATATGAGGTATTGGGTTGAGGGTGCTGGGAGGAACATTAACAGCAGGGTTAGGGAATGAGATGGAGGAAGTGGGATAAGACCTCTCATAGCAGATGGCACAAGAGCTGAATTATGCAGGAAACTAGGGATTCTAGGGGAGATAACCAGGTGGTGCTGTGGATAGAGCACCAGGCCTGGGGTCAGGAAGGCCTGAATTCAAATCCAGCCTCAGACACTTACTAGCCATGTAACCCTGGCCAAATCGTTTAACCCTGTTTGCTTCAGTTTTCTTATCTGTAAAATGAATTGGAGAAGGAAATGGCAAACAACTCCAGTTTCTCCGCCAAGCAAATCCCGAATGGGGTCCAAAGAGTCGGACATGATTGAAACAACTGAATAGCAACAATAAAGGAATTCTGAGTGGTAGAAGTGAGAAAGGAATATATTCCAGGAACAGGGGAGAGCATATGCAAAGACACAGAGGTAGGAAGGAGATACAGACTTGGGGGTCTGCAATGGAATGTAGAGTATATGGAGGAGAGTAATACGACACAGACTTGGAAAGGTTTGTTGGAGCTTGTTTGTGAAACACTTTGAATACCAAGCTGAGGAGTTTGTACTTTACCCTAGAAGTAACAGGAAATTATTGGGGTTTCTTGGGCAAAGGGGTGGCATTCGATTTGTGCTTTAGGAAGCCTTTTTGGTCAGCTTTGTGGCAGATGGATTGGGGAGGGGAGAAAGTGGAATCCAGGAGTTCAGTTAGGAAGGTCTTGCTTCCTAATAGTCAAGATAATGAGGAAGTGACCTAGGATGGTGGTAGTATGAGTGGAAAGAAGGGGACAAATGGAAGAGCTGTTGTGATGGTAGAATCTCCAAGACTGATCTTCCTGATGGCACCTATGAATCCAAATCGCCAATCCATGAAGCCAAGAAGCCACTTCCTCCCAAGCTATGGAAAGTATCTGAGACAGTGAGCGGGTATCACTGAGCTCCAGAGGTTCCGTGGTCCCTTCTCTTCCCATCCTTCTCTGTGACAGTCTATGACCCTCCAGCCTTCTGAAGCAGGTCCAAATTCACCTTGGCCTTTTCATAGTCTTTTCCTTCTTAATTCCCTCCTCGAAGCACCTCCAATTTCCAATTAATTATGATACTTTAAAGAGGAAAGGTGAAGTGATATTCACGTGGTACGAGTGGGAAGGTATGGTAGAAATATGGCCAGACACCTGGATTTTTTTTTCTTTCTTTCTGTTTTTTTAATGTATTACCCTAGGGGCCACTCAGGTCTTTGTTCACCTGACCTCTATAGTAGGTCACCATAATCTAGAGCTTACTTAGCACAGTATCTAGAACACAATTGATGCTTAATAAATGCTTGTTGACTTGATTCAGGTTGAAATGTCTAGATACATCTAATGGGTAGAAAAGATGTATGGGGGGTGTTGTGGGTCATTGGACCCATAAATCAATGGAAAATTATTTTTCCCCATGTCAGAACTCTTAAAATGTGTGAGCTCTGCTTTGTAAACTTTAAAACAATACAGAAATGTGAGTTGTTATTATCTAATCTCACTTGGGCTCCTTCTTGTCCTCCCTGCCCCCGTAATATCTTTCTCCTTTTCCATCCTCTGTCCAAACTTACCCTTTGGTCTAATGGCATGTGTGTTAGAGATCCAGGATAGTATTCCATGATGAATTCCAAGTTAGGGTCCCCATCACTAGAAAAGGGAAGAGAAATCTCCTAAAACAACAAAGAAGTAGTGTTTTTGCTCACAAAGCTCCTGAAGGGAATGTGCCAAGCTCAATATTTTCAGTGCTCTTCCTGTATGTAATTCTGAGGTCTCTGAGCAGAGCTGGGCTAACCTCTTCTTGGGTATACTGAAATGCTTGTGTGAGGGTTAGAGTAGATGACCCCGAGGTCCTTCCATCCCTGAGACTCCATAGGCCTATGACTGAATGAAACACTCTGTTCTTTGCATAAAAAGCTTTATTCTGGGGCAGCTAGGTGGCACAGTGGATAGAGCTCCAGCCTTGGAGTCAGGAGGACCTGAGTTCAAATCTGGCCTCAGACACTTGACATTTACTAGCTGTGTGACCCTGGGCAAGCCACTCAACCCCTATTGCTTCACCAAAAAAAGAAAAAAAAGTTTCATTCTCCAGTGTAATTGTAGCCAGCTCAGGCTGGCTGTTAGCTTGTAGGCCACAGCTTATGGAATTTTGCCCTTTTGGTTTGTATGTGGATGGAAGAGTCTGACTCATTAAAAACAAATTGTGATTTGGTTTCCTCCAAGCATCCTATGGTTTTTAAGGAATTCTTTTTGTTATGTGGCCCTGTGGCATAGATAAGGCTAGTGCCAAAGCCTCTCAGCATTGGAAATGGGGAAAAGATGTGCTGACCCTCCCTACCTCAAAGGTAACATTCCTCATGTCAGTGGAGGGTATATTTTTATGTTACTTTTAAGTAAGAATAATAACTAACATTGCATATGTTATCACTTGATCCTCACAACTCTGAAATAGATGCTGCTATTATCCCCATTTTACAGATGAGGAAACTGAGGTAAAGGGATTTAGCCAGGATCACATATAGATAGTAATTATCTGAGGTAGGATTCGAGCTCAGGCCATCTTGACTCTTAAGTCCAACACTCCATCTCAATGTAAGTTGTAAAAGGGACCATCTAGAGAATCTTGTATTAGAAAAAGTTGTTTTTCATGTTACCCATGTATTTGTTTAATACGTATCTTAAAAACATCAATATTGGTACATTGCCTTTTCTGTTGCCCTTAGTGTATTTTGCTAAATTAATAATAAATATATTAATTTCCATTATTTAGAAAAACAGCTTTGGGGGTGTACTTTAAAAAAATGAATTGGTCTGGCCAGAATCCTTCCCAAAGCTTCTGGCTGAGTGCCCCCTGATGGCAGCCACACCTTTAACCTGAAGAGGCTGAGGCCTCATGCCACTCACTGCTGGCTGTGTTCCCAAATTGTCTAAGAATTATTACTTGTCCCAAAGACTTTATTTCTCTTAGGCCCATGCTAATTTGTTTGCTTCTATTAGAACTTTAATTTTGCAAAGTACTTCACAATTCAGCAACATTACTCTGTGGGGCTGTTTGACCATCCCCAATTTCCTTGGTCTGACTTAAAATATTTATTATTAAATATTATAAACTTAAGCACTTTTCCAGAATAAAAAAGGAACACGTGGCCGTTGAATTCTAAACTGTTCCCATTTCTCAGGATTCTCTTCCTATCTTTTTTCTATGTTTAAGCAAACATTTTACATCATTGGAATCAACATGTATTTAGCTGTGTTCTTTAGCCTGATGTTTCAGAGATGCCCTTGTTTTGACTTTGAAAACAATGCTTCTCCCCAAACTTGAAGATGTTTGACATTCAGAACTCTCCGGTGGGCCCTCTGTCTCTCTGTGTTCTCTGTCTCTGTCTCTTTCTCTCTGTTTGTGTCTCTGTGTCACTCTCTCTCTCTGTCTCTGTCTCTCTCTGTCTCTCTCTTTTATTCCTACTTGTCATTTGAAAAGGACATTGCATTTCCCATTAAGAAGTATAGCAAAGTATGAGTGAGTGGTGGGCTTTTAACCCACTTAATAGCTAAGATTTATATAGTGCTCCTAACTTTTTAAAGTGCTTTATATGTAATCTCATTCAATGAGTAGGTGCTATCATTATGTCTATTTTACAGACAGGGAAACTGAGCTGAGCAAGATTAAGTGACTTTCCCAGGGTTACTCAGCTAGTAAGTGTCTGAGGAAGGATTTGAATTTAGCTCTTTCTGAGTCTGAGTCCAGTGGTCTGTCTCCTGCTGTGCTATCTAACTTCGTTGTTTTTAGGGTCCAATTTACTGAGGTGTTTAGAAAATGATCTCCCCACAGACCGATTTTACATTCTGCGCTAGTCATAGGAGCTTTTCTATAACGTGGTAATTTTCTTTCTCTATTATTTTCCAGGTTTGTGTACGGGGACCCTGATCCATATACTGCACTGACTGCTCTTTCTCATTTGATTGCCCACTCTAGATGACATGTCCTTTGATGTATCCTGGTTTGCTGTCCATTCCTTTGCTTTGGACAAACCTGCTGTCCTTCTGTCTTCATTGGATCGGAAAGGAGTTGTGAACAAGGCCCGGAGAACCTGGAAGAGTGACCTGAGCCTGGAGAAGATCAGTGTGATGGAATTCCTCCTACAGGTTCATGGCTCTGAAGACCAAGATTTTGGCAACTACTTTTGTGCTGTGATACCATGGATCAAATCAATCACAGGGTCCTGGCAGCGAGAGACAGAGATCAAATCCAAGCCCATCTTTGTAACTGTGAAGATGGATGGTACGGACCTCACATGCTCACTTTTCTCAGTGTTTGTGAAGTGCCCTCAGTCTGCTTTATTGTAACCAGCAGCAAGGGACTACCTAGTATAAAAAAATTGTTCCAGTGAATATTGTTTTCTATCTCAAGGAAGAATGATTGAACCTTTTTGGATTAATAGATCCTTTTAACAGTCTGGTGAAGTCTATGGAAGCTTTCGAAGTATACCGTTTTTTGTTTATTTCCATGTATAAAATAAAATACGTAGGATTACAAAGGAAACCAATCATGCCAAAATATGGCTATTAAAAATGTATTTAAAAAAAACCCAAATTCAAGGTTCCCCTGAAATTTGTTCATGGGGGTCTGTGAACCCCAGGTTAAGAATCTAAGAATTTTGACATAGGCCTGAATCTAACTACAGAAGAAATAAGCAGCAAAAGCCTATGGGTTCTACCTGTTTTAGACCTATTAGAAAGATGATGGATATCTTCATGCCCTTTGAACTCCTGTGTAAATGCCCTATTTGCTTCCTCAGATTTTTTTCCCAGGTGTAATGGGAAGGGGGAGGGAACTATTTAATTAAGCAGATGCTTATCAGGTTCCTACTATGTGGAGATCATGGAGCTAGGCCCTAGGGGAGGGAGACACAAAGTTCAAGTGTTCCCTGCCCTGATAGATCTTTCAGCCTAGTCAAAAACAAATAAGGAAAAGAATGTCCTTTTTCTAGATAAAGCCACTGTGTAGAGAGATCCACCCTGTTCCCATCTCCCCCATTTGACTCAACATGACATTGGCAACTCACCCTTTTAACATTGGTTACCTCTTAGATTCAATGCTAGACTAAAGACTGACCACCCATTTCCTTTCCGCCAGCCTGCAAGACTGTCAGTGTGTGGGTGGGTGGGAAGGTCAGCTTTTAGTTTTGTGTGGTTATTGTTGAGTTTACGTGACTTAACTACTGATGTTTTGCCTCCATGTGTGAGTATTGTTGTAAAGTGCTTTAAGTAACTCCATTTATGAAAATGTAGCTTTATAAAGAGTATTAAGAAAGTGATGATTCACTTTGCAAAAGGATTCACCATAGCATTTCCCATTAAATTGCCAGCTTTGGTGATGTTTGCCTTAGAAACATTTGGTTTCTTCACAAATTTTGGGAACACATATACTGATACAAAAGTAAGGTAACCATTTTTTTTTTTGGACCAGGTATATGATTTCTTCAGCACAGTGGACTCCCAGTGAAGAAACCATTTCCAGTGTAGAGTGCCATCTCTTCCATGCTTTATAATCTTAGAGAGTTGCCATGGGCACAGAGTGGTTAAGCATGTTGCCCAAGGTCATACAGCCAGAATTGACTGAAAATCAAAAACAGAACTTGAACTCAGGTCTTCCTGACTCTGAGACTGCCTCTCTATCCACTATACCACACTCACTGCCTCTCATGAGGCACCCTCATAGCTCCCTACCCTGCCTAAAAAAAATGATACTCAGAGATGACCAAATGAGTTTTTGTTGTTTTTATTTTTACCTCCTATTCCTCACTTGAGAGGAGGGAATGGCAGCATTAGTTAAGTGAAGGGAACATAGGCCTAGATTCTGCTGTGGGCTCTTAATCTATTTTCCCTACCCTTGGGTGACAGGGGAAAAAACCCTTACCTCTTTCCTCATCTACACATAAGACAGAAACACTGGCACCCCTGTTCATAGAACTTTTTGAGATAGTAAATAGTAGGTCCTCAATAAATGTTTGGATTGAATCAAATTGAATTTGGGAAAGGGACATTGGACTAATCAAAAGCAACTCATCAAGAAAACATTCCCCCAGTTTTACTGCGTGAGTTGTCGTCAAGATCAGAGCTGGCTCCGTTTGCTTCATTAACCTTGTTCTTCCTCTTCCACACAGTTCTGAATGCCTTCAAGTATCCCCTGCTAATCGGCATCAGCCTCTCCACCGTTATTGGACTCATCTCTTGCCTCATAGGCTACTGCAGCTCTCACTGGTGCTGTAAGAAGGAGGTCCAGGAAACAAGACGAGAGCGAAGGCGCCTCATGTCAATGGAAATGGACTAGGCTCGTGCCTGAGAAAGAAGGACTATCTTTGTGGGAGAGAGATGGGTGAGAAGAGGACAGTGACATTTTAGAGTGAAGTGTTTTACACTAACAAAAGAAAAGTCCTCTCTAATCTCAGGTGGGACTTCCAGCTCTCTCTTTTCTGCATGTTAAGAACCGAGAGCACGGGACATGTTTACCAGTACTGACCCCTCCAAGGGCACTTTCTAAAGGGACGCTCTGTTCTGGATATATCAGTTGTTTCGTACAGTGTATGTTTTCCCAAGTGGGGCTTTTTAAACAGTGAACTTTGTCTGATTTTTTTTTCCTCTTAACCGATTTTTAGAACCTCTTATAAACTCCATGTTCTATTTTTTTTGTCTGTTGAGAGGGGGTTGTGGAGAGAAGTGGGGTGGCAGAATTTAGAGACCTTTGTCTTGGATGAATATTCGCTTGCTCACTCCAATAGGTCACTGTTGACTTCAAGGCACTGTTGCTAAGATCTTCTGAATGAGATGTTCTAGTACTGCTTTGGAGACAGCATGGCGCTGTTGCTAAAAGCCAGTTTGTGGCTTTTATCATCATCCCCCTATTTTCAGGGGCCTGTGCTACACTTTACATGGAAACTTAGTTTCCTATTGAATCGAAAGGCATTTTTGCTTCTTTGTTCCCTCTCTGTTCATTCAGTGTTAGACTATTGGCCACCCTAGAACCTGACACCCCACCGAACACCTTACCTTGCCACCTCAGCCTTAAAATGTAAGCCGAGTAAAAATCCAGCAACACCCCCTTTGCTAGTGGCAATAGGTAGGCCTGTGAAGAAATGAGGATTGGGGGGTGGAAATACCAACTTTTAGCAGAGGCAGCTCTGAATATTCCTTTCCCTTGAGCAAGCAATTGGATAAGCTGGGGAGGCAGGGCTCGGAGGCTGACCTTATACAGCTCAGGGCAGGAATGACAGAGATGTGACGAGGGCCCATGTTGGCATGCAGAAGAAGCCACCACCACCTCCACTTTCCTGCCCGCCAGGCAGCCACTTTGGCAGCGGCTCCAGTGGGCCCCATGGGAGCACCTGCAGAAACCCAACATTCCAGTCTTGCTGCTTTGACTCCCTGGTCAGGAAAGTGAATAGTTTTGCAAGACTGTCTTACCTGAAAGGAATCAGAAACAAGGCGGAAAAGCCATTCCTTTCCATGGCCTTCTTCATCCATCAGGTCTTTTTTAGGAAGCTCAACAGGGTGTTAAGGGGAGAGGGTATGGTTAGGAAGAGGAATGAAACCCATGTATTTATTCTCACGTAAACAGCCCGCTGAATGAATACCAGTCTTTTCCTTGACTGTGTCAGTCAGGGCTGGGACAGTGGGTCAGAGCAGAGAGAAAGAAATGTTATTTGTCCTGAGGCTTTTTTTTCCCCCTGCTTTTAAAAAAGATTTCCCCCAGCACTGTCCTACTTTCCAAAGTGTCTCAGACTCGGCCTGGCCTTTCTGAAGCATCCCAGTGGGGTTTTCTGAGGCCCATTGATGACTCATGGCCTAGATTTCTGTCTGCTTTGCTTTTATTCTCACTCTAAAGGAGCAGTCACAGTGCTGTCTTCCAAGGAAAAGGGGGGGAGGAGGAGGTTGGAGGAGAAGAAATTGTTTTGAGCAATAAAGAAGTCAGGTCCCAAAGAAAAGCATTCATGTACTTCCATTTCCTCATAATTGGCAGGATGAACCCTTCCCTTTTCCCCCTCCCCCAGCTTCTTATCCTCACCTGTTCTCACTGATTACAGTTTCCATGACCATGTGGGTTTCCACATTGATTTCCCTCTGTTCTGCTAATAGAGACGGTTGCTCATGCAATGATGAGTGCTGTCTCTGGGCTATGAGAGTCTTTAGTGCCCAGGGCAAGAATGCTCCCTTAGGACAGTAGCAGACCCTGGCATTCCAGGTCTGCATGTCCTTGAATGGAAAGGACCCCCACATTTATGCCCTTTATGGAGTAGGGATGGCCAAACAGAGAAACTGTAAGATTTTAATAGCATTAAGTTTTTGTCCTCCCCTTTCCCCCCTCCTGCCCCCGCCCCATGCTAACACTAAAATAGACACCATTTCTTTAAGGTATTTTTCCATGGAGAGAGGTATCAGGCTTTTCTAAAGGCAGCATAGAATCACGAAGTTGACATTGGGACTTTTACTAGTTAATAGCCAGCACACTCTGAGCACTTTGGGGTCTACCATTTTGCTGAGAGAAAACTCAGGGTTTTCATGACTCAAGCCTTTCTTGTTAGTAGAGAAGAGCGCCCAGCTCTCGATGAGGGTGGGGGGAGGCGGAGAGGGAGAGGAACCTGGCAGCTCTAGTAGGGTTGAGCACTACGTAATGGATTGGTTTGGCCAATGCCACTAGCATTAGCGAAGCTTTGTGGGGAATTGTGCCCTATGCCTTTTCCTTTACAAGCTGATGCTGCTGGTCAGAGCTGATAGAGCAATGTTAGCAGCTGCCCCAAAATGTCTGCTTCCGTAGCTTTTGCGAGGGAGGTAGACCCAGGACACCATGCCAAAAAAAACCTTGCATCAACTTGGAAAATAAACTTTGCTGATCATTTGTCTGTCTCTCTATCTGTCCTCTCTCTCTCTCTCTCTCTCTCTCTCTCTCTCTCTCTCTCTCTCTCTGTTTCTTTAGTGTGAAATGTGTTGGTGAGGGCCCTCTTGGGATACCATGTAGGGGTCCCGGTGGGAGAGGTTCCTGCCATCAATAGCAGTTGTAATGATGTAATGACCAGGGGTCCTAGAACCCCTGATGCCGACAAGTCGCCACTTATGTTTGTTTATTTGAGCAACGTGATGGTCGTAAACATATTCCCTAGAAAAAACCTAGGGCTTATTCACATGAGTGAATTTTAAATAACCAAAATTTATAGACATACTGAAGTTGTTGTTGTTATTGTTGTTGTTTTTCAAAAACACAAACTGACACCATAAAGAAAGTCTCTTGGGACAGTGAAAATGCAGAGACACATCTATCGCACTTAAATATTTCTTAGTGTTTTCCGTTCTCCCCACTCTCCCAGCATTCCCCTGAAGTCCCAGCACAGGAGACCCCTGGTATCAAGACCCTTCTGTCTACTTTCCCTTCTGCATTTTGTTCTACAGACTCTTGGCAGCCATTATTTGTCACTGAAGTCAGTGACCCAGAGACTGAGCCTTCCCAGCAGGGACAATAAGCAATATACAACTTGCTACTCGCAGAAAAATCTGAACTATTTTTTAGCTTTGCAACTGACAACAGAGGAAGAAGGGAACCAGGGCCCGGGTAAGTGCATTCTTCTTCCTCTGATCCACCAGGTTCCTAATGACACACCCGGCATGCACATCAGTTGGGGAGAAAGTATAGACTTTTTCCTACACAAGAAACAAGGACCGGAAACACCAGCTCACAAATCTACAAAAACTTGCTTAGACAAATGGTTTGCGTATTTTTGTCCATACTCAGTGTCATTTGAACTGATTATATTGTGTTTTATACTGTGATCACAAATAATATGCAATACACAGTCTGGTTCTTTTTTTTCTAATTTCATTAAAGAAAGTTTAATTTAAAATCAAAATGTATTAAGAGCTTGGTATTTATTGGGCTTTTTCTTTCCTCCCCTCGCATGGCAAGATGAATGGTGTATGTCCGTGGTTCTCTTGATTTGGCAAACCCTGACGACATTTTAGATTGTTGTCAAGGGTAGAAAAGCATGTGAATTTAATAGGCTTCAGTAAAGCTGATGTGTCCTGATGCCACACAGAAAGGAAAGGGTAGGTGCCAGGCAGTTCTGTTTGGTATGCCCCCTCATCTCCCGGTCATGTTACCTCTTAGGCGTCTGACTGATCTACAGGATGAAAGCGGGAACTATTGTTCTTCCGATTTGCAACCGAGGAAATGAGCACATGTGCCCCGTGAAGCAACAATATGGTACAGTGGAAAGGGCATTGAATTTGTAGTCAGATTTCAGTCCTGGGTTTGAATTCTGGCTTTGTTACTTATTACCTGTGTGACCTTGGGCAAGTCACTCCTTTCTGTTGAGTTTTCTTAACTATAAAATCAAGGGGACTGGACTAGATCTTTGAGGTTCTTTTTAGCGCTAAATTTATGATCCTATTAACTTATAGTTTCTTTCCTAGCCCAAACTCATAGTAGTATTTCGTGGTAGGTAGCAACAGAGCCTATCTCCCCCATCTGCCTCTACTTCTCCAGCTCAGTCTACTGCAAGGTTCACTCCACCTATGTCTTTGCCAATAAACTCAAAGCAGCTTCTTGACCCACTTCCCACATCAAAATAAGACCCGAAGAACTGGAATCCGCCTCCAAAAGGTTTTAAATACAGCCTCAATTTAGTACATTAATCAAACTTGGAACTCTGGTGAAGCCCCAAACTACCAAGTTGAAGGGGTAAACTATTGGTATAAAGGTTAAGAGGCCTAATTCTGTTGCTAACTGTTTGGCCTTGGATAAGTCACTTGATCTGTTGGGATCTCACTTCCCTCATTCATAAAATGGGAGAATAGGACTACAGGTTTATAATTCTATGGTACTCGGCATAAAGGAGTGTAGATTTATTAGAACCTACTGAATCCAATCCCCACATTGTACAAACTAAGTCTGGGAGTGACTTTCTCAGAGTCACACAGCTAATAAGTGTCTTAAGCAGGATTTAAACTCAGGTTTTCCTGACTCCAGGGCTTCCCAATGGGTGGCTGTCATGGCAGTTGGAGCCCAATCTGTTGGTCTCTTGACAACAGACAAGGCTGGGTCTAGGCCTCCTGGAACATCCAGGAGCCCAGTTAGGTTTTCAAGGCTCCTCAAGGACCAAAGGGGGTAGAAGTCTCCTTTACTCTGTCTTCTAGCTCTTTTCTCCTTCCTCAACTTCAACCTCACTCTCTTCACTGAATCAGGTTTATTGATTGATTAAGGGCCTACTATGTACTAGCCCCCAAAGACCCCAAAACAAAAGTGATCAAATAAGTTAACATATGTAAAGCATTTTGCAAACCTTAAACCACTATATAAATACTAGCTGTTATTAGTTACTGGGGCAGCTAGGTGTCGCCATAGTGTATAGAGCATTGGGCCTGGAGTCAGGAAGACTCATCTCTCTGAGTTCAAATCCAGCCTCAGACAATTACTAGCTGTGTGACCCTGGGCAAGTCACTTAACCCTGTTTGCCTCAGTTCCTCATCTATCGAAAGAGCTGGAGAAGGAAAGGGCAAACCACTCCAGTATCTTTGCCAAGAAAACTCCAAATGGGGTCACAAAGAGTTGGAAGTGACTGAAACAATTGAAC